CATGCAGGTTAATGTAGGTTTAATCATGGATGGGAAGGTTAAAGATAAGCCAGAAAGCATGAATCTGCAGTGCCTCTGTTTGAAACTACTGTTTGAAAACACTTTGAATTCCGCAGTGCAGTTCTCAAGACTTTTAAAAATGTATATTGTAATCGGGAAAAAAATCTGCCCAAAATGCATTGACTGTATACATGCAGAGAATGTATAAAAATTAGAATATGCTGACCAAAAGTAGTAAATAAAAACTGCAGATAAAACTGTCTGGGTTAGGAGAAGCCCTCACGGGGAGGGAAAAAAAACCCCCATTCAGATCTCAACACCAGTTTTATCTTCCAAGCTTACATTTCGCTGAATTTTCTCAGCGTTGTTAAAATACGCTGCCTTTGTTCTGAAAAGGGCAACTTAATTGTGCACCTTCTGTTTGAGGAATGTTGAAATAATTTCCTTGTAAGAATGAAAAAAGAAAAAAAAATGTTTCTAAGCAGGGGGCTGGACTAGATGATCTTTAAAGTTTCCCCCAACTTCACGTCTAAAGCGGTGGTTTCTCAACCTGAGTCACTTTAAGCCCTGTGGATTTCAACTCCCAGAATTCCCCAGCCACCATTTCTAATGGAGGATTCCTGGGAAATCTGAGAAACATTGATTTGTAGCACCAGAAGGGGTTCCCAAAGATCATCTGGTCTAGCTCTCTGAAACCTGCAAGGGAACTAATTAAGCCCTCCCAGAGAAGTATGTCGCTTATCAATATTTCTCAATCTGGGCCATTCAAAGGCATGTGGATTTCAATTCCCAGAATTCCCCAGCCAGCAGGGAATAGCCTGCCTCTCAGCTGGAGGTTCTATTCAAAGAATGCAGGTAGTGTGCCTCTGGAGCTGGAGGTTCTGTTCTCAACTGTCTCAGCTGTGCCCCTGAAGAATGCAGATAGCCTGCCTCTGGGGACAGAGGCTCTATTCTGGGCTGTCTCTGCCATGCCCTTGAAGAATGCAGGTAGACTGTCTCTGGAGCTGGAGGTTCTATTCAAAGAATGCAGGTAGTCTGCCTCTGGAGTTGGGGATTCTATTCGAAGCATGCAGATAGACTGCCCCTGGAACTGGAAGCTCTATTCTGAGCTGTCTCAGTCATGCCCTGAAGATAGCCTGCCTCTGGAGCTGGAGGCTCTATTCTAAGCTGCCATGCCCCGGAAGAATGCGATAGTCTACCTCTGGAGTTGGAAGTTCTATTCAAAGAATACAGATAGTCTGCCTCTGGAGCTGGAGGCTCTATTCTAAGCTGCCATGCCCTGGAAGAATGCTGATAGTCTACCTCTGGAGCTGGAAGTTCTATTCAAAGAATACAGATAGCCTGCCTCTGGAGCTGGAGGCTCTATTCTAAGCTGCCATGCCCCGGAAGAATGCAGATAGTCTACCCTCTGGAGCTGGAGGTTCCATTCAAAGAATACCAATATTCTGCCTCTTGCAGCGGACTATTCTACTTGAAGAATGCAGATGGTCTGCCTCTGGAGATGGAGGTTCTATTTGAAGCATGCAGGTAGATTGCCTCTGGAACTGGAGGTTCTATGCTCCTGAAGAATGCAGATAGATTGCCTTTGGAGCTGGAGGTTTTCTCCTCTTAGCTGTCTCCGCAGCAAGCCAAAACAAAGGCACCGCACACTTCCAACACCATTTGTGACAAGGTCTAACTGACACCAAGGCGCAGAGCCTGGCCAGACTGTCAACCCTGCCAAGATTTCGCAGCCGATGGGTTTTTAAGCACTGCTGGAAAAGGAAATTCAGGCCCGCTAATGCCACATTTCCATGCCAAGCGAGGCTGGCTCCGGCCCACAACTCCCGGAGGGGACGTCTCTAGTCCTCAAGGATTATCCAGACGTCCTTCAAAACCAACTCTAGCCACGCCGGCCGTTTGATTCTCCCACCCGCTCCCCAAATTCTCTCTGCAGCGAATTCAAACAGATGTCTCCGTGAAAACATCCTTTTCCCTTTCTTTGCCTTCTGTTTTATTTTCATTTTTCCCCTTCTCCAAGGGTATCCTTCAGAAATGAAAGAGGGGAAGGTTGCATAATGTTTTTTACAGCTGTTAGCAGAAGGAATTTTCCAGCTGGGAGCAGCCCAGGGCCATTTGCTCTCTGCCATTAAAAAAATAATAAAAAAGGAAATTTGCAATTGGATATTCCCCCCCCCCAAAGATTTAAACGAAAAATAAAATAAAATCCGTTGCATCTTTGTGCGGACTTTTGCACAAATCGGCCTCTACGCTAACCGAACCCCGGAGACCTTTTCTCCCCAAAAAATCAGAACTCAGAAACACAAATTCATGCCTATCGATCAGCTTCTCTGACGATTTACCAAATGTTGCTCAATAATGCTTAATAATAAGTTTAAAAAAAGGTGGAGTAGTTGCATTATTTTTGCTGCCCTCCCACCTGTATTGGGTACCTCCCACCCAGTGCAATTTTTGTCCTCCCAGGATTGCAGGGCAAATGTTTGCAAGGTTTACAGTTAAAAATGCCATAATATGATAAAGAGATGGAAGCTCCCTTTCTTAGAGGGAGGCTAAAGGCTGTGATGAAAAGTGCAAGAAATGTGAACACTCAAGGGGTGTCCTTTTCTAAGCAAACCTGAAACTATTATAATTTTCTCTCTTTTTCCTTTCCTTCTTTCCTTCCTTCCTTCTTTTTCTCTTCTTTCCTTCTTTCTCTTTCCTTCTTTCTCTTCTTTCCTTCCTCTTACCTTTCTTTTTCTTTTTCTCTTTCTTTTCCTTCCTTCCTTCCTTTTCCTTCTTTCTTTCCTTCTTTCTCTCATTTCCTTCCTCTTTTCTTCCTTCCTTCTTTTTTTCTTTCTGTCCCTTTTTCTCTCTCTCCCTTGCTCTCTTTCTTTTCCTTCCTTCCTTTTCCTTCCCTCTCATTTTCTTTCTCCTTCCTTACTTCCTTTTCCTTCTTCCCTTCTTTCTTCCCTTTCCTTCTTTCTCTCCTTTCCTTCCTCTTTCCTTCCTTTTATTTCTCTGTCTCCCTTTCTTTCTGTCTCGTTCTCTCTCTCCCTTTCTCTCTTTCTTTCCTTCCTTTTCCTTCTTTCTCATTTTCTTTCTCCCGCCCTCCCTTCCCTTTCTCATTCTCTCTCTCTCCTTCCTTCCTTCCTTCCTTCCTTCCTTCCTTCCTTCCTTCCTTCCTTCCTTCCTTCCCTTTTTCTTTTTTTCCCCTTTTTTTCTTCTCTTTCTTCCCCCGTCTCATTATCCAAAGTCCCCAAAAAACTCCAAGAGATTTTCTACTAGATGGGGAAAAAAACCATCAAAACAGACCTAATCTAAGATCTCCATGCTGTTTGTGAAAACATAACACATTGGTGGCTTCAGAAACCTGAAAATACTCCCTGCCTCTGTGCATTCTCTGGTGCCTGGAATGGATCCCCAAAAAGGCTGGAAAAGGTGCTTCATTAGAGACCACTAGGGAGAGTTTCTCAACCTTGGCTCCCGGAAGGTAGGTGGACTTCAACTCCCAGAATTCCCCAGCCGGCAGGTTAAAGGAATTTCTGAAGTCCACAGCTCTTAAAGCTGCCAAACATCACTATAATAGAAGTTGAAAGTTCTCTTAGTCCTTGACTGACGTTCGTTCAGTGTCTGTTCAAAGTTACAACAGCATGCAAAAAAAAGACACATGACTAGTCCTCGCAATTACGACCATCGTAGCATTCCCAAGGTCATGTGATCAAGATTCGGGCACATGGCAAGTTATTCCAGGGTCATGTGATCTCCTTCTGCAACCTTTCCAGCTGGCTTCTGATAAGCAAAATCAATGGGGGGGGGAGCCAGATTCACTTAACAACTGCATCATTCACTTAACAGCCTTGACAAAAAAGAGGTCATAAAACCAGGCATAACTCCACTAAACAACTGCCTTGTTTAGCCAACAAAACATCTGGTCCCAGTTGTGGACATAAACTGAGGACAACCTGTATTCTTTGCTGCTTCGTACTACCCACCCCAAAGAAAGGGGTAGCTTTCTTATTTAAGGAATTTACCTTATTTATAGACACTGTTTCTGCCTGCGCTGAACAGGGGGTCGACTAGATGGCCTCTAAGGTCGCTCCCACTTCTAGAATTCTGTCTTCTCGCCTGGGCCACATCCTTCCTCCCTTCAATGCTTTAAGGTCACCTGGTCACGGCTGTGAAACCAGAAAGAGGACCTGGAAAAGTGGGAGGGAGACTTTTTGGGGAAGGCAATTTAGGCCGAGTGTGATAAAAACAGCATGTAGATTTCCAATGAAATCCAGTGTATGTGTGCACAAGCGGATAAAAACAGCAACACCGAGATGAGAATTTCGGGTTCCTTGGAAGAAAAACTAAGTTTATTAAGATTTCAATTTGTTCCCTGATGCCTTTGTTCCCCTGAGCTCTCCAACATGACCTCCCCAGTCCTTTACAGTTCTCCTCCAGCAGTAAAATAAATAAATAAATCAGAATTAATATGGAACAGCAATAAATATAGGAAGGTATATTCTGTATACATCCTATTTGATTATTGACTAATAATGCGGTAAAGGTAAAGACTTAAACAAGAGGGTGCAGCTGCTTACTTTTGAGAATACCAGGTTTTCTATGGCTGCAGAGATCAGTTTGGAACAGGCAAAACGGTTCCTAAGGAATAATTATTTGGTCTGAATGAATCTACTCTGAAGAAATTCATCAGGCTTCACTTCCAGACATTCTCCCCTGAGGGATTATGGCATCTGTTCATGTGTGTGTTTCTAAAATCGTCTGAAACACACCAAAAAGTTTGTTTCTTTTAAAAAATAAAAAAAAAAAGATTTTCTGTTCTATTGCAACGTTCCCTGAAGCTCAAAAGTCTGCGGGAATTGGGACTGAAATAATTCAAAATTAATGGTCCAGCAGAAAGTTACTGACTCCGAAATCCATGCTGCTGGGGAAAGGAGGGGGCAGATGAAGATGGGGACTCCACCTCTTCCCTTAGCTGGCATGGGGTGCTGGCACAGATCCATTGGAATTGGGGGAAGGAGCCACAGATGGGAAGAAAAAACTCATAGTTCTTTCTTTGATAATATTTTTTTCTAAGGGGAGGCAAACCTCCGATGCAGACAGGAAGACAGTGGAAGCCCCTTCCTCACAATTCCTGACCCCCATTTGTTTAACTGGCAAACCTACATTGGGGCTCTGGAATTCGCTCATTCCCAGGAATCAAATTACCCAAATTCCTTTGAGAAAATCAACCACGGTTACTCTCCATCTGTATCCGAATTATTGCAAGGAATCTTTTAAATTGGCAGAATACATGTGTTCCGTTTGTGGCATTTTCTGGGTATCTGTCACCCCCTGAGCATCAAAAGGGGGACAGGCTTTGCCCAAAGTACAAAGTTAAAAAGTTTGGGGGGGTGCAACCCAAGGTGGGGGGGGGGAAATCTCAGGGGAAGGCAGCCCCGATATTGCACAAAGCTTGCTTTCCAGGAAAATCTGCGTCAGACTGCGTCAGATTCGCACCCTCGTCCCCTCCATCCGTTAAGTGGGCAGCAAAGAACCTCCGCAGAATCTAGAGTCCTGGGTTCAAGAGTGGAGCATCCATAGGGATGAATAAACAACAGTGCATTTAAATGGATTTCAGTTCTCGGAGATTAAATCCGTCACTTTGGAAATCGTATACCGAAATGGTCATTTCCATCTTCGAGCGTGTGGCAATTTTGCATAACTTCGGTTGCCTCTCATCTAGGTTACTAGCCAACGTTGTTTAGGCTCTCCGGATTAGCCACGGTTAACTTCTATGCTAGTTATCTAGACAGTCTTAAGGCACAGTCTCAGTTCAGTCTCTGCATAGTCCTCTAAGATCAGGGCGATTCCCACCTCCCCTTCTAACCTCCAGTCCTCCCCTCCGAACTTTGCCCAGCTCTGACCCCGCTTAGCTGCCAGATGTCACCACCAGATTGGCATCTCGGGATATGGGGCAGCTGGCAAAGGCATCACAAGCCTGGCACTCCAGCGCAGGTCCCCCTCAACATCTCCTCCAGCCGGTGCTGGCTAAAGCCACCGAAGGTCCAATCTTTTGGGGCAGGGGGAAGGCAGGAGATCAGACGAAGCTGCCCCACAGAGAAAGCTTGGAGTGCCAACCTCCCCAACAGTCTGACAAGCTCAGGAGGGAGGGGTCACCAGTTGTCCTCCATCTGCCCCATCCCTGCCCGGTTTCAGAGACCACCCGGGCTGGCCCGCCGGGGGTCGCTGTCATGCTCGTACCGATACTGGTACCCCTCCATCTGATCCCGGCAGGCCTCCCGCAGGTTGTTCAGCCACCGCTTAATGCCCCGTCGGTTCAGGTAAAGCACCATCAGGAAAACCAGCCCGATCAATGCCAGCACGATGCCCAGGAAGACGTACGAGACGGTCTCCAGCTCCTTCGGCTCCGGCCCGCCGACGGGCTCCAGCAGCCCCCAAGCCGCCCCTTCCTCCAGGCACTTGAGCTGACGCGGCCGGAGGCGCAGAACCAGCGCGTCCCGCAGTTGCGGCGGGGCAGCGCAGCGCAGCTCCCGCCGATCCGGCGCCCGCCACGTGGCGTTGCCCAGCCAGAGCAGCAGCGGTCGCAGAGCGGGGCAGTCGCAAGTCAGGGGATTGCCCGCCAGCTGCAAGCGCAGCAAAGGCGCAGCCAGCCCGTCGGGCCGCGGCTCCTGCAGCGAGTTGTTGCGCGCGTCCAGCTCTTGCAAAGAGGCCGGCAGCGTCCAGCCCGGAGGCAGAGCGCGCAAGCCGTTCCCGGCCAGCTCCAGCCGCGCAAGGCTGAGGTTGGCCAGAGCCGAGCCCAGCAGCTCCTCGGCCGGCCGTCCGGCCGTCAGCGCCCCGTTGAGGCTGAGCCGGTGCAAAGGGGCGCAGAAGAGGAAAGCTCCGGGCGAGACGCGGCGCAGCGGGTTGTGGCTTAAATCCAGCGCTGCCAAGGACGGCAGCCCGGCGAAGGCCGCCTCTTCCAGCGCTTCGATGCGGCTCCGGAGCAACGCCAGCAACGTTAAGTGGAGCAACGGTCGGCGGGGCGAAGGAGCCCCCGGGGCCCAGCCGCCTGCAAAGGCCGCCCGGCTCAGCACCGTCAAGTTGGCACCGACCACGGTCAGGTTGCGCACCGCGGACGGCAGCTCCGCCGGCGGCTCTTGCAGCTCCACGAAGCGGCACTGCACCGTGTCCGGCGTGGCGAACCAGAAGCAGGGCGAGCAGCCCCGGCTCTGCAGCAGCGGAGGGAGGAAGAGGAGGAGGAGGAGGAGGAGGAGCGGCGGAGGGGGGCGCCGGGCCATGCTAGCCCAGCTCGGGCATCCCCGCGAGCGCCGCCCGGGAGGGCTGCCCACCGCTCTTGCAGCTCCTGCCCGGGAGACCGCTGCTTTCGACGGCAGCCGGAGGGAAGTGGCCCGGGCGTGGGGAGGCTGCCCCGGCTCGGCTCCGGGGAGGGAGGGAGAGGGAGGGTGAGCGGGAGCGCGCGCCGGCTTCGGGGGGCGCGCCTGCTTGGCTCTCCGCCGCCGCCGCCGGTTGCTG